TGTCAATGGTAGAATGCCCAACGCACTGCATAAAGGATGGAAGCCTAGGCGTCTCATTGATGCACTAACCAGGGACCACATTTAAAGGTTACCCCCAGGTACACGTGAATTCGCAGTTTTGTACGAAGAAAACATTAAGAAGGTGAAGGAAAACATACAGAAATCCCAACTGCAAATGATCGAACAAGCTAATAAACATTGTCGTCCTTCACGGTTCCAAGAAGGGGACTTTGTTTGGGTTAAGTCTAAAGAGTTTTCCTTAGAAGAAAATGTGTCTCAGAAGCTACTACCTGTCCACTACGGATCCTGGGAAGTTCTCAAAGTGATTGGAGGTGAAGATGGGCCTTCCTATCGTATAGATGGGCCTTCCTATCGTATAGATGTACCTCCATATACCCTGTCTTTCATGCGTCTAAACTGCTACCCTACATGGAAAATGATAACTTTCCGAATAGACCATCTCCATTTTCACCCTCTATGAACGGAGGCGATGAAGTTGATAGGATATTGGAACATGGCTATTTCTCTACAGGTGGCAGAGGACGACCTCAGAAGCAGTACAAGGTAAAGTCCAAGTCCCAACCTCCATCTGAAGCCAGATGGTTTAGTAGGAAAGAACTCCTACCTACTGCTCCTAACATTGCTGCTCCTTATGAACGTGGGTTGAGTGCAGATTGATGTTTTTCTGCGATGGAACTCGAAAATTGGGCCGGCAAGAATGTAATAACCCATGTAGTAAGCCTTGTGGAAATTGAGGGTCAGGCTGAACAGGGGGAAAAAAAAACAGCAAAGATTCGCCTGGACGAGGTACAGTTGACAAAGTCAACTATCAGAAATTCCAACAGTCAAAGTCGAAGTGTACCCAGCCCAGGCCGTCGGTCGGACACACACATTTGTTTGTATGCAGGTACCCAGACGACATCAGGTCGAAGGGAGAAGACTGCAATTGTACAATCTGGGCCCACGGCTGAGAGTCAATCTTGACGACTGTGGGAAGAGCACCCGAGGCCAGACAACCTCAACAATCCTACCCCTTAAGCGCGAGCGGCTCGCGGGGGGAGGTTGTGTTCCGCTGCGCGCCGGAATCGGGGCGAAGTTTTGATTCGGGCCGGCGGATGAAGGCGATCGAGGAAGGGGCGGTGTGCAGAGCGGTGCACGTACCGAATTGTTCACAACGCGCCATTAAACGTGTGAGCGCGCCCCCGGGGCAGGGCCTGTCTCTTATACACATCTAGATGTGTATAAGAGACAGCCTCTGGTCTTCATGGCATGCTGATGTGTCGCT